CCGCAGTCCACAGTGATGGTTCTGCGCAACATGGTGGACCCCAAGGACATCGATGACGACCTGGAGGGGGAGGTGACCGAGGAGTGTGGCAAGTTTGGTGCTGTCAACCGTGTCATCATCTACCAGGAGAAGCAGGGCGAGGAGGAGGATGCAGAGATCATTGTCAAGATTTTTGTGGAGTTTTCCGTAGCCTCTGAGACTCACAAGGCCATCCAGGCCCTCAACGGGCGCTGGTTTGCTGGCCGCAAGGTGGTGGCTGAAGTGTATGACCAGGAGCGTTTTGATAACAGTGATCTCTCCGCGTGACCTTAGACCCATTCCCTGGACTTGCACTTTCTCCTTGTTTCCTCCGGGTTTTGTAGAGAGATTCGGTGGTATCTTGGGCCCAGCCGCCCAGCCTGTGGATAAAGGTGCAGATGCTGCTGGCCCTGAACGTTCCTGTCTGACAGTGGTCTTGTGCTTATTGGGTCCCGTTGGGGCGCGGGCGCGGGCGCGGCTCAGGGCAAGCACCCGGGCCGTGCGGAGGCACTGGGCCTTGGCAGCCGAGACCTGAGTGCCGGGAGGAGGGCATTCGCCGGGGTCAGTAGGGGCTGCTTGGCTACTTGGTGCCTGCATGGGGCCGCGGAGGAACGTGGGGGTGGCTTTCCTGCTCTGTGGGGCTCCACTGTCACCTGCGCAGGCAGTGCTGCGAGAAGGCTGGCCCAGAGCCCCTGAAGTCCCGGGACACGTTTAGTCTGTCAAGCAGATGAGCGTCGCCTTGGCCCGGCGCCCTACCCTCCGGGAGCCCCCGTCCCTGGGAGAGCGGCGGCGGGCAGGATCGTGAGGTCTTGAGGCCAAGCCCGGGGAGGGGGCCCAGCGGCCGGGAGGGGCGGCAGGAAGCCTCGGTCCCGGGAACGGTTGGGGCGCTGGCGTGCGGGAGCTCAGGCTTTGAACGGACTTCAGTTCCCACCATGCCTTGCGCCAGGGGGAGGGAACTGAGCTTCCCGACAGGCCGTGCGCGGTGCCGCTACGGGTCTTCGGACGCACTGGCGCCGCGAGGCCTTGTGGGGGTTGCAGTTCGGGGCGACGAGGGGCGGCGAGGGCGGGCCTCGGCTTCCCGGCGGGCTGCGCGGCTGCCGGCGGTTGTCGGCGGGGCAGTCCGGCGGTTAGTGGCGGCGGTCCCGTCTGCGGCACAGCGGCGGGCGAGCGGACGGGCCGGGTCAAGTGGGCTGGGCGAGATGCGGGGCCGCCGCCGCCTCCTGAGAGTCTGAGCGTCGGCCGGGCCGCGCCCCCCCGCCCAGGCCGCCGTGGTCCGAGCGTCCCGAGCGCGGGCCGGGCCCAGCGCCGCCGCCGCCG